ATTTACTTATAAGTCTTAGGATATACTAGCTTTCGAATATAGTTAGATATAATAAATATTATAGTATAACTATTATATATAGAGAGGGGAAGAACTTACTAAGATTATATAGGATCTTAAGAATAAAACTAATAGAGAGAGAGTATTATATTATAAATAAAGACCTCTATAATAGGTTATACAGTTATATATACCCTACTATCTGAAGGATAGGAGTAATAGAAGTATTATACTTCTATTATAGGATATAGCTAGATTACTAGGAATAGTATACTCCTTATACTCTATAACTATTATATATATATATTTATTTTATTAGTTAGAATATCCCTTTAGATAGTTATTAATATAATTATCTATATATCTATTATTACTAGCTCTATAATACTTATATATTAATAGTAACTTATATTATATAGTCTAAGATAACCTGATTATACTACTCAGAATAACCCTCTGATTAGTTTAACCCTGATCTACCCTAGACCCTGTCCAGTATAAGTTAATCTAACTATTATAAAATATAATCTACTATATAACTAATAGTTTATAATAATTAAAAATAGCTAAACTATTAATAAGATTAATCTAGATTAGATTAAATACTTTAACTTCTATATAGCTCCTTATATAAAAAGAGTATATTAAATACTAATTCTTAATAACTATAAGAGTTATTATTTAGCTAACTTTAAAACCTACTATTAAGAGTAGAAAATTATTATAGTCTATATACCTTCTTACTTCTTCTACCTTCTTTAGCTACTAAATATTAATTACTTTAGACTATTTAAGTAGTTATATAGATAAGAGATTAAAAGTCTAATATAGATATATATTATCTATATTAGTAAATTTAAATTTCTCTCTATCTTTTATATAGTTTTCTTCTACTTCTTTATAGAGAAGAATATCTAGATAGATTTTATTAGATCTAGCCTAATACTATATAATCTAAAGAGAGTTCTTTTAAAGCTAGATATAGTACTATAAATACTAATACTACTAGAGACTCTATCTAAGATAAAATAGCTCTAGATTCTAAAGATACTATAGACTATATATAAGATAAATATATAGTCTAAGTATATTAAATCTTAAATCTTAGCTTATTAAAATAGCTTTCTAATCTTTATACTAACTATAGTAGATTAATTTATAAAGAGAGTAATTATAATAATATACTAGATAGCTTTTTTATATACTAAGATCTATAATTTTTATATAATAAATAAGATATTAAGTAAGTACTAAAGAGCTAAAAAAAGCTATATATAGTTTAGAGGGTTTCTAACTATATAGAATAGAATAGATCTATTAGACTAGAAGAATATAAATAAATAGCTAAGAGGGGAAAACTATAGAAATAGTAGTTAGAAAGAGTAGGCTTATATAAAAACTTTATAATATAATAATTATAGAAAGTCTAATTATAATATCTAAACCTATAGAGAGATTAGAGAGAAATCTAATAAATTAATTTCTAGTATTATTATTATAAATAATTAGCTATTATTATTTTAATTAACTTTATTATATAAGGGATAGGTAGAAGTAATCAGCTTACTTATATAATCAGCTTACTTATAGATTATATTATCTATAGTTATATCCTGTAGAAAAAAGATCCAACATTAACCAGAAAGATTCAACCCATTTACTCCCGATAAGCGACTTGACCTCACAACAAGCTATCCTAGAACTCGAAAGCGACAGCCAGAAGTATTTGGTCTTCAATTATTCCTCCCCTCCAAGAAAGAAAGGCCTTAGATGATTGTACACTCAAACGGAGCCGCAAGCTAGTCTTAGCATGTTTGCCAAAATCAAGAGAGCAGTTACTCTGAGTTACAAAAACATGATCAGGCAGACTGATGAGCTCAATTTGTGCTCCACCAACAGAACCTCTAGTTAGCACGAGCTTTCAAACAAACCAAACAATATCAAATTAAGTCCAACAGCTTGCTAGACCAATCATAGTATGCGTTTGACTAGGTACATAAAGTATTGACCACTTCTTTTTTTTCTCTCCAGATTTTGGGGTTTTCTAGCTTGATCTCTCGAGTGCCGCTGTAGTACGCGTGATGAGCCAACATGCAACACCCACCCGGCCGCGCCTTCCTTGGATAGACAGTCTCCTCTCCTTTGCCTCAGGCAGCAACGGCAATAGCGAATTCAATAGTCAATTCGCGGGAGCTCGACGTCAACTGTCTGTCTCTTGTTGCGACGAGGAATCACTCCAGATCTGACCAAGTAGGTGTCTCCAGCATCACTTGAGCCATCGTCGCATTTGAGACACGAGAGGCTGCAACTAAACATACCAATCAACACGGAGGCCACATCCCCATCACCGCCCGAATAGGCCGCTGGCGCCATGGACGTCTGGGGCAGCCGTGTCAAGCAATTAAGCTTGTCTTCAATTCCCATTAGAACGGGCAATTGGTCATTCAATAGCCGGCAGCGACATCGGTCCAGCTGAATCATTGCCTTATCTCTTGGCAGGCCCCGGAGGCCAGACCACGGGGCAGAATAAAAATGGAAGCAACCCCGTTTTGCCTCTTCCCCCAGCTTCACGTTTTCTCACTCGATAACCTCAGCAGGGATGGACTCGGTCGCTCGTGAACGAGTAAGCTTCAATGCGAGGGCCGAGACCCAGCTTCTCCCCGCCTAGGACCTCGTGAGAAATGACAAGAGCTTGGAAATGATGGAGAACCTCGAGGCGTCCCCAAAAATCGCGAGCTCTCAGACCACGCGCTGGCCCTTGAGATGGGTTTTCATTACGAGAGAGAGATTTTCCATTACGAGAGGGATACGCCACGGTTGGACACCTGCCGGGAAGATGGATACGGCCTCGCCAATATTGCCTCGCGATTTTATGGGTTTCGGTCAGGTCCCCTAATCCAGGGACCAGCGCTTGGCTCCAGCGTCACGGGAAATCTGATCATGCGAGGGGACTATGCCCGCGAAGGCGCCGAACAGTGATGGTCGAGACGAAGCGGAAGTGTTGAGGTCCAAAAGCAGTCATTGCAGCTCCACCGTGAGTGGTCTGAGCCCTGTGACATTGACGGCGTCTCTATTGGTGGGCAACGAGGCAAATAAATGACGCGCCCCTGAGTATTTCGAGAGGCAGCCTAGGCCAGGGGTGGGCATGGCAGGCTCAATCAGGCAACAAAATGGCAACGGTAATGGAAATACGCGGCGACAAGCCCGGCAGACATCAAGATCCGATGTGGGAGCATCCCGCCCGGCACCTGATGCTTGACCGTAGCTCTGCTCGGCAACTCTGACCAAGCAAAAGAGGACTCTAATCAAGGAAGAGACACGCGGCACTGATCGCGCGATCCTGCATGCAAGGAGAATACAAGCTGACAGGAATAGGCAACCGACACCTGGACTCAGATGCTTACGGGCTAAAGGGGCAGGATGATGACATTTGATTGTCTTGGGAGGAAAAATTGGGGAAGATCAACACCCGACTCAGTCCACTGCATGATGGCGAACGGAAAAGACGGAAGGAAGATTTCTAGAAGGTCTGCAATCATGCGCAATGGCTCGATGGTGGTCCATTCGGTGGACCGCCATTTGTCAGAGAAACTTGGGCAATGCTTGTTAGTCGTGCACATCTCCATGTGAGTCTCCATCAACAGTCTCGAGCTGCCAATCAGCATCTTCTGCGGGCATTTACGGCCTTCTCCACTTCCTCTGGAAGGCAAAAAATTTCCTCTCTGCCCCCCCCAAAAGAACGACTAGCCTTGAGCTTGGTGCGGCGCCACAGCCCTCCTGTCAATGGCCCGTCACTTGGCCATGTCGAGGCAAGGCGTGCGGCTCTGTCTATTCCCGCCGGCTGCCGGCTTGGCGGGAACCTCCAGGGGTGATGATTGACGTCGTTTCCCGGCCGTGATTGCCGGGCTGGGCTGCGGTCGTCCCGAACGCAGATGTGTCTCACTTAGCCTCTGCGTCTTGCTCGAACGCAGCTCTCGCGATGAGACACCGCAATTATAAGCAGCTCATTTAGAGTCTGTGGGACTCAGCTGGGCTGGACTCTCCACGATCCACTGCTTGCATTGTCGTCTCTCCATCGCGACTGGGCAAGTCGGTGTTTGAAGCTCCCAGACCCCTGGCTAGTCAGGCCGCCTCGGGAAACACTTGACACATCGAAAGGCCCTCGGGCTCCGCTTGGGTTGGCACCGGTGGGCTCTAAGCAAGGTGCTGATGACATCCGTGGGCAATTGCGTAGGTAATTGTCTCCTAACAGAATCCACCCTATTACCCTCACGAAACCTCCCGTGGCCGCCTCGTGCTTGCTGTTCGCGAGATCCAGACAATGCCCGTCGACTCCCCAAAATCCCCAGAGATTTACGAACAAGCACTTTGCGGGGGACTTCGTCTGGGGTTTAACTTTGACGAGATCTGGGTTTCTCCAGCCTTCGCCAAAAGTCTATTGAGCGAGCTCCGTGGCCGAGGGCGGAGGTTTGTTCTTGCAGCAGGATGTCGAACCTTGCTGCAGCCACCACCGAATAGAAATAACCCAGAAGCAAAATGAGACTTTGTTATCTCGAGAAGAGATCCCTGAGACAAGCCGCCCGTCGTCCCATGACCCACCCCCAGGAAGTCGGTATCGGCTCCGGCGCGCAGTTCTTGGGGCGTAAGTGGTATTATGTTATTGCTTCTCGAGAGTTTGCCTGTGCTGGAGATAACACATCTTCCGCGTTCGGTCTTCCCTCCTCCCCCCACCAGCGCACCAAGCCCATATAATGCGTTCCTCCCCCCCTCATCTGACTCGGGCTATTTCTTCAGTCTTCTTTGTCTTTAGATTGCCACTAGACTAGTAGACGGAGCTCTCTCTCCTTTGATTAGGGGTTTCATAAATATAGACGAACTCCCGCGTACTGCTCCCATTCTCACATCCATCTCACCCAGCAGTCTCTCCCACATACCTCTCTCTCTGTCTTCACAGAAGCAATACTTCCTATACTGGGTCATACCTCGGTCGTACTTTCAACATGGCTGATATCGCACCAGCTGCGGATGCCACCAAGAGTGCGCCCAACAACCACAACGAGAAGATGGACATCTCCAGTGGGGACAACTCCATGATGGGAGATCACTCGGTGGACAAGGCTGAGGGCACCACCACCGACCTGGAGGAGCAGGGCGCCGCTCACTTCCACCGTCTGGGATGGAAGCGCCTCACAGTCGTCCTCATCGTCGAGGCCATCGCCCTCGGCAGTCTGAGTCTCCCCGGCTGCTTCGCCACCCTCGGCATGGTCGCTGGTGTCATCACCTGCGTCGGTCTCGGTCTCATCGCCATCTACACTAGCCACGTCGTAGGTCAGGTCAAGATCAAGTTCCCCAAGGTCACCCACTACGCTGATGTCGGCACCCTCCTCTGGGGCCGCACCGGTTACGAGATCATCGGCTTCATGTTCTCCATGCAGCTCATCTTCCTCGTCAGCTCGCATACTCTTACCGGTACCATCGCCTTTGGAAACATTACTGATAATGCCACCTGCTCCGTCGTCTTCGCTGTCGTCTCCGCTATCATCCTTCTCCTGTTGGCTGTCCCTCCCTCATTCGCCGAGGTCGCCATTCTCGGATACATCGACTTCGTCTCTATCATCCTGGCTATCGGTGTGACCATGATCGCCACCGGCATCCAGGCTGGTGACCAGACCGGCGGAATGTCCGCAGTCAACTGGTCCGCCTGGCCCAAGGAGGACATCACCTTTGCCGACGCCATGATCTCCGTCACCAACATCGTCTTCGCCTACAGTTTCGCCATCTGCCAGTTCTCCTTCATGGATGAGATGCACACCCCCAAGGACTACGTCAAGTCCATCTGGGCTCTGGGTATCATTGAGATCATCATCTACACCCTCACCGGCGCCATCATCTACTCCTTCGTCGGCCAGGACGTCAAATCCCCCGCCCTCCTCTCCGCCGGCACCCTCATGTCCAAGGTGGCCTTTGGTATCGCCCTCCCCGTCATCTACATCTCCGGCTCCATCAACACTACTGTCGTCGGCCGCTACATCCACGGGCGCTACTACAAGGACTCGGTCATCCGCTACATCAACACCAAGGCCGGCTGGATCTCGTGGCTCACCCTCATCACCGCCATCACAGTCCTGGCCTTCATCATCGCTGAAGTCATCCCCTTCTTCAGCGACCTCCTCTCCATCTCCTCCTCGCTGTTCATCTCCGGCTTCACCCTCTACTTCCCCTCCATCATGTGGTTCGTCCTCATCCGCGAGGGCAGCATCTGGGACCCCAAGAACATTCTTCTCACCGTCGCCAACGCCATCATCTTCGTCATCGGCATTATCGTGCTAGTTGGCGGCACCTACGCTAGCATCGTCGATATTGTAAGTTTTTTACTTCCCGCCCCCCCACCGGACTAGCAAAACCTTGCTCGGCATTTCCTTCGGTACTAACATGACGCTACAGAAAAAGAATTTCGACGAGGGAACCGTCCGCGGCGTCTTCACCTGCAGCCCCATTGGTTAAGTCGGGACTGGCTCCCGCTCCGGCCGATCCGGGCAGACCTCTTTTTCTCGTTTTCGCTGGCGTTTTTCCGTGTTGGCGCTCTGATTGGCATTTCGGGATTTTCTGAAAAAAATTTCAATGTTTTATTTCTTCAAATTTGTGTCTGAGCGAGCCCCAACCCCCTTGCTTTTACTCGCGCTGCATTGCATGGTTCGGAGCACTGTTGATTGCGCTTTGGGAATGGAAATCTTTTCAACTGGAGTAGCTCGTTCCTGTAATCTACTTAGCGATACGAAATTCTCATTTGACACACCATTATGAATCTGAATCCGGCTGGTTGCTCTCTGCGGTGGGGTGTCTCATTCCTGTGGTGCCATTGCTCCGGAAACGGGGAGTGGCAGAAGGGAGCGATGCGAATGGCGCGCGTTTAGGTTTGGCTACTGCCGAGTGCATCGTGCTTTTAGAATTGCCGTGCTTGGTGGCCGGATGCGGTCTTTGACTTGATTGGCATGTCGAACTTAGGCGAGTTTCCCGTATGCGAAGTGTCATGTTCGTGGATGGCTGCATGGTCATGCTGCAGCAATCGCTCGTCGCAACACGAGGGAGAAGGGCCAATCCATCCTACGCTGCTTCTTTACTAGTAATATCAAGTGGGAGACCTATGCAAGTTATGCTGTAGCTGGAAAAACAATCCTGAACACCAAGAATCGACAAATTGATGCTATTCCCAGCATCACAACACGTTTGCTGCGGTACGTGGTGAAGATACTGACAGAAATCTGCCAAAATCGAAGGGAAACACCGTAAACACCGAATGAACCATATTCACCAGTCTAACGCATGTTAGAACTTGATTTGATTAAGTCAGTAAGCTTTTAGGCCTGAGTTAATTTGAGTTTGATATGGTTGGTTTGAAAGGTCGGGCTAATCTGAAGCCCTCCGGATAAGATCCAGTGCATCCTCGCATCATCATATGTTTGGTAAATATACCGAGGCGAACCATGGTGGCTCTCCATATCCCAATACAAGATGGGTATCCATGGCACCATCTTTCCTCGCGACGAAAGCCCCTTCCTCTCCCTCGAGTGTTGCTTGCCTCCACCATCTGCACAGCTACGTGCCTACGCACTCTTATTTGGACATGCTTCTTTGGGAGATCTAGGGCTCTTGTTCGAAAATTGAAAGATTTCTATCAAATAATGACAAAACTTAAGCTAATCCAGTATAACAATGAAGCCATTCGACCCACCCCAGTAATTGGTTGTTACTCGCCTTGGCTATACATGCTAAAACGTCAAGGAAGGAGGGTAAATTATCCTCTACAGAGAAGAGCTCATCCAGAGTCTAGAAGAAAAATACGGCGCAGCCCATGGCTGTCGTAACATTTCGTAGTCCAGTCGTGGTCTTTCAACCTACTTGGCGCATATTAGTAGCGGTCAACCACAGGTTGCCGAATAAGTTGGTTGAGCAAACTCTTTTGCCACACGGGCGACACGAAGATAAGAAAGAACACCAAGAGTCATCCCGAGAGCTTAATAGAAGGTTCGCGCCCCAACCTACGCAGTTACAGGTCCCTCAGCGCCGTGACGTGGCTTTTGATAAAGGCTGGCAATGATGGTCGGGATCGTGAAGGCTTCTATTGAGCCCTTAAGATCTTGGAAAACGGTTGACAATTGAAACGGTTGACCTCTGCGGAAAGACAGCGGAGTACGTTTCTTCGAGGAGGACAGTTCAGCACAACGTTCGCATATGCATAGCAGGCAGAAGAAAGCTGTTAAGTTTTCACTAGATAGACTCGACATATTATAACAGAAGTAGAAGAGCAGAGGCTGTATTTGCTCGCCTTTAGCATCGTTAACGTAGCTCCGTGACTGATTCCAAATGCATCTATGTCTCCTGTATTACTTGAAACCGGCTGTCAATGTACAACAGGTATTGGAGCGATACCATGAGAAGGTCCTAGGGTCCGATGTCGCAGCCCATGCTGAACCCCGGAGGTATGATGGAACTGAGCTGTACTGTAATTCTCTGCCATTGTGAAGCTGGAACAATGAAAGGGAAGGAACTCAGTGACGTGACAGTTAGACAACTTGATGGAGCTGGACTGTCTCCTATCGGGCTCGTCAGTCTTCATTCGCAGAAAACAAAGAAAAGAATAAAAGGCTGATATCGAGGTCCCTTAGCCTATCAGTGCCTTAGGAGATCCTTGGGAACTCAAAGACATCGGAACTGGGTTCAAAAACACCGGAACCATCACTGGAAGTCGATTGTATGCTTTCCAAGACTCGGTGTAATGGGACCTCTCCTGGTGCTAGGTCTGCTGAATTGACTGCCATCCTGCGTTTAACTTCTTTTTTTTTGTTTCCCTCCTCTTCCCTTTTCCTTATGTAGCTTCTTTTCCACCCACCCCATCCTTTCGTCTCATCTTCTCGTAGTTCATGCACTTTCTTGCCCAGAGCTATCTCGCCGTCAGAGCTGGAAAGCCGACCAAGGTTTGATCTAGGTTGTCACGAGTGGTCCACCATGAGATAATCTCGATGAGTGTAGCCGTGTTTGGAATATCGTAAAGGAAAGTCTCTTGTTGTTCGGGATCGGAAGGAATCTAATCGTTGAGGCCATTCTTGCAAAATCGACGAGCCCTTAGGCCATTAACAATCGCGAAACATCTTCAACTCGATCGATAGTCTTGATAAATATCTTCTATGCTGCGTTAAGCGGCTCCTAATCGACGGATTTACCTTCTACTATTAGCTTTTTGAAAGATAGGTTCTCCAGCCTGATGGGCTTTGGGCTTAGCTCGACGCCTGCTTGAAACGGTTTGAGGTATCTCCGACGATGCTGGAAACACGCTTCGGTCGGAGAAGGGCAGTTCTCGGATGAGGATACTGCATGTTCAAATCGGCAGTTGCGATTTTGTTTTCTGAACTAGTGATGAGAATGTATGCTCTGTGGGGAGCTCCAACGAAAGATGAGGGCGGAATGATGTAGGGGATAGATTTTCAGCGCTGGACAAAGACCGGCTCGAGATTGCTGCCTAAAACTCTGCCTGTCGCGACTTCTCTGGAGAGAAGGCTTATTGCCTGGGCCAGTAGTGCAGTTCTGCTACGGCCACAGAAGATACCTACGTGCCCCCTTGTGTTAGTACTCGCTACCAGACAGTGAGTGCTCGACTTTCACGGAGGACTAGCATAACAAATTTAGTAGTAAAGATATTTCCTATCGATACATAGCCATGAAGTGAGTTAAGGTCTCCTGGTCATTCGGTTACTACTGTCAGCCAACACGCACTACTAGGGCTCATCCCACATGACAGCGGTAGACCTCAGGCTCGGAGTGATACCTCAGGCACTGATCTCTGGTGCTGCCCGGACAGCAGGCACGGCCTGGAGTATGATTACAGTAACTGCTTCTGCACTGCAAAACGTACGAGGATGACGTACGCACTTCAGTGAGGCATCAAAGGGGTGCGTAATAGGAGCCTTCCGTTACTTTCTCGCAGTGTTGCCAAGGCCTTTTCCCCTCTTCCTCCTCCTCCTCCTCCTCCTTCTTCTTCTTCCTCTTCATCCTCAAAATCTCCATCTTTATCATCTTTATCATCATTATTAACATCATTATCATCGCTTTTTCTCTTATATCATTATCATCACCATCATTGCATCTTCTTTCTTGCCCCCCCCCTCCGGGGCTTCCTCCCCAGGGAGGGCTCCTTCTTCGCCCCCTCCAGGAACTTTTCCACAGCCCTCCCTGGGGAGAACAAGGTAAGAGCCCCATCTTTGTACCTAGTTTGCTCAGAATTTCATCATCAATCGGCTTTCACTTCGTAAACTAACTCGAGGTTTAGGCCATTGCCTTGAAGAAGGGCAACTTAGTGCAAAGCCGTAGCGACCAGTTAGCTGTGAAGACAGTCCTCCAGTCAGTGGAGAATAACATGGTTCAGAAAAAGACATTCTCCTCCACTGACTGGAGGACGCATGGGCGGGCAGAAGGTGAGCCATCTCCCATCGCACTCCTGACTATCTTGCTGATGGGGTGTTAACGAGCCAAACAGCGCCGAGAAGTAAGTCAGATACCCCAAGTTCTCTATGTTCTGCCATTTCAACCGCATACTAACACAGATAGATCGCGCTCGAGAAGACCATCGTACGTGGTGTTTTTTGGCAATGGCCAGAGATGACAAGTCGCAGCTAACATCAGCTCTTCCCACATCAAGTTTTGGGTACTCAAGGTAGAGGTAAGCGATGACAGAAACTTAATACCCATCCTCTTACTAACCGTTCTCTGATATCAAGTGAGCTTGCTTCGATTCATTGTTGAGTGTCATGCGAGTCATCGCTAACTTTACGGACCAGGGTAGTTACCCTCGCCAAGTCGGGCGGTAAGAAAGAGCTCAGCATACATTATGGCCCTAGGGTCTATTCACCTAACAAGCCCCATCTAGAATCAAATGGTGGTGGTGGTGGTGAAGAAGGGGAGGACGGCGAGAACGAGGTGGTGGGTGGTGGTGGTGGCGATGGTGATGAAGAAGGGGAGCATGATGAGAACAAGGTGGTGGTGGTGGTGGTAATATTGAAGAAGGGGAGAAGGATTAGAATGAGTGATGGTGTTGAGAGAAAGCAGAGGCGGAAGAGTAGGAGGAAGAGGAGAAGGAGTATCAAGGCGACGACAACGAGACGGTAGTAAGGGTGGGAGGAGGACAAGCAGAAGGGGGAAGCTGCAAAGGAGAAAGATCAAATAAAAGAAGACCATTCACAGAACCAACCGATCCATTTCATATATATCCTGCGAAGCGCAATATACAGGATCGACACCGAACAAGATATGACCACTCCACTCGAACTGTCCTCAGCACCTCTTTCAAACTTAAGGCTAGAGTTTCCACTCACAGCCAAGCATAAGAATAATTTTTCGGATCTTCTTCGACGATTCGAATTCCAGTCGAGCCCTTTCCAGTCGAGCCCTTGATAGACCTCGAGCAATACTAAGCTACCGCGATCACTTAACCCCGATGATTCAGGCTCGTAGTCATCATTAATTTCCATCAACTATCAGTCCCAAACGTGTTAACATTCAATTACACGTCTCCTACAGTCGGAATTACCAATAACCTTCTTTACCTTTGGGGAAATGAGGTTGAGGGCAGAATGGTTTATATTTCGCAAGCTATGAGATACAGCCGGAGCGCGTATTCGCCCATGCGATAACAGATCCGAGCAACAATAATAACCAGAGAGATCATAAAGTTTTTGCCGAGATACATTAGCTTTCAAGGCCAGATTCAATATCAGGAAACACCATTTTAAGACGGTAAATGAATATTCGCAGACACACAAAATCGAAATGCATCTACCTGCAAGTTGATTTTGATACGAATTGGGGTCCTGTCCAAGATCGGCCGCTGCGAAGCGGTGGAAATATTCGTGATTCTTGAGCGATCTTTTCTCCTCAAGCGATGGCGGGGCAATTCCAAATTGGACCATCGCTCATGGCATCAAAATGTGGCTGTCAGCTTCTAACAAGGGCAACTTGGCCGAGTGGTCTAAGGCGCTAGACTGTACGTATCCAAGTACCTTCAAGTACCTCAAAGTATATTTACTAACAACCACACAGCAAGATTTCAATCTTCTACGTACGAGTACGTGGTGTATTCTAGTTCAGAGATGAGCGCGCGTTCGAATCGCGCAGTTGTCAATTTTTTTTTTTCCTTTCCTTTTACATCTACACGCATCCTTACCCCGTGGCATGGATGGGGTGAGAACTCTTTTTATTTTATTTGGTCACCCTTTTGCCCCCATTTGCTTTGACTCCTGCGATGACCAACGGAGAAGCAACCTCCCCTCCCTCCACCCACACACCCGAATGGTGGGATCATGAGCCCACCTATCCCTAGAAACCCCAAACACTTCTTTTTCCATGCAAGTCTTTCCCCTTTTTCGCCGCCAGAGGATTTTTACAATATCTATATAGACGCCCTTTGTCTAGAACAGGCTCTAACCGGCGTTGAACAATAATCAATCAATCAATCAGGCGATGGCCTCATATACCATCACAGCAGAACGGCACTGCCATCGTCCGCATCCGAGTCGATATGGCAAGATAGAGACAGACGAGAGAAAACATGCCACAGACAAGAATCGAGAACGAAAGAAAGTACGCTAAGTTACTAAGCTTTGGCCTATGAGTAAGTTCATGTTTTCTCCCCCCGCTAGAGATTTTATAAAAAACCCTACGCATCAGCTAGGTCCTCCCCCCAACCAATTTATTTGCTGCAGAAGACTTCAGTATCATTGGTCTCAGGAGTGTGCAGCCATTTCACCTACCAGCAAAATCCCATAAAGCAGGAGCAGGTCTTGCTGCTATGACTGCAGGGGCGTTTGGTGTTTATCGAGCATTGGCGCGTCTCCAATCCATTTGCGTCGACTTCGACGGGACTGGCCAAAGCCAGACCTGCAAAGGCGGCAAGGAGAAAGTATGAGAACTGCATTTTAGAGTCCGGCTAATGTATCTTCCAAATTTCGGAGAAAGTGCGCTGCTCTGTTGAACACTTGAAAGATTGGAGCTGAAGATGCAGAGGATGCAATTGAGATAAACGGTCGGGGACTGTAGGCTTTTATGTCATGTTTTGGTAACAGACCTAGCTTAAATCATGCAGATGCCGAAGGCCTCCATGAATCCCTCACGGATCTTCGTCAGATCCTTGTGGCAAGTCCTACGTTACGTTGCCCCAGGAACTTTGGTCATGAAACCCCGTGTCTGGTACCTGGAAATTCAAACTTGTTCCTCTTTCCGGGTAAATCGGATTCCTACTGGCATTGGAACCTAACAAAGCGCGGCGGAGTTTTCAGTGAGGCACGGATCCTGATGCAGATCAAAGCTCGGACTCTGGTGTCTTGTTAGCTTCGACTTCATCTTTTCTTTACCTTCCCAATATAGAGGCGCCTCTGTAAGAGATATAGTGTCGCATTAAGGCCTTGGATCCTGAATCTGGTGATTCCACAACCATGCCGGATTCCTTGGACCAGTGACATTCTTCCCCAAAGGGTTCCCAAGTATACGATAATTGTTTAATAAACCAAGTTCACTTCTTTATAAGTTCATTCCTGGGTATACATTCGAGACACTCAGCTGTTGAAAAAGAGACCTGCGCGCTGGCGGGATGCGTTGCCACTTCCAACAATTTGCCAAACGGTTATTCGTTTCGATGCTTTAGCGCCGTATCTGGCAGAGATCCTTGCTCGCTCACAATAAGACTACAATCCAATTAGGAAACTAATATAATTGACGCCTGGGGAATCAATAATAACTTACATTCCACTGTGATTGCAGGGCGGCCTGTCTCAAAAACCCAGCAGCAATCATGTTGGATTCATGGCTATTGCTTGCCATGTGCAATCAGGCCTCTTGAAAGGAACTCTCTGCCCCTCTGAACGCATTGTGTTAAGTTCCCTCGGACTGGGCTGATTCTCGACCCGGTACTCATAACCGAGGCTAGATCCCAACATGGTGTCTACATTTGGGATTTCTTTCCTCTAGCCTTTAAGAATAATTCTCTTACTAGGATAGCTTTGTTTTTTTACTTTCTCGTCATTAATATTATCACAAGTCAAATGCTGATGCAGTAATTGCGGAGTTTCCGGGGAGGCCGCCACCGATGGGGGCGGATCTCTTTGTCCCTGTATCTAAGATCCTGAGGAATTATGGACTTGCTAATAGAAGAAACCGATCTGTTTCCATTAAATTGCTAACACTTGTCAAGATTAATGCTTTCGTATCAAGTAGGCAGCTGCTACACAGTGACTACTCTAGCTAGAGTACCACAGCCTCGCCACTCTGCAAGCGATCACCTACGCCACGTCCTTGTCTTCGTTGATATCAAACTCATTGTTCGGGGCACCACCACTCCACAAACGGAAAGAGACTTGAGTGTTTTAATAGGGTTCTCGTTTCAAGTGATGACCCTCAATGTACCCGAACAGAAGCATACAACTTAAATTGGTAGCAAGAGAGAGGCAAAGATAATGGACCCATCCTTCCACGAATTAATGCAAAGGCTAAAAATTGCGATTGCAATAGAATGTCATGAATCACACGACGAAATCAGGAGATCAAGGAGTTATTGGTGTTGCTGATGCACTGGTGTTCCGTAATCGGTCAATCCGTATACCAACTGATTACCTCCCCCGTCTCTCATCTTGCCTTGAATTCTTTGCTTCGTAACTATTATTTCTGTATGTTCTTAGAACCTTATATTTTAGAAATGAAGGGAACAACTCTGCTTGTGTCCTCCCCCTTTTGGTTTGGCTTAGCCCCTTCTTTCTTGAAGTCAAGGGCCGCTGTTCCAACTGTACTCAACGTATTACATACTTAGAATCCTATTTCACTTGCAATGGTGTGATAATGGAGCAATATTACAACAGCTTCAATCCCAAGCACCATCACTGGGATCATCTACGTTTGCCGATCGAGATGCTGACGGCAAGACAAAGTGTTATCGCATCCAGCCATTGTCAAAAACTATGAAGAGATAATTCTCAAACCTATGACAACTAATACCGACATCAGACCTGAATTTGAAAGAATTTGACCAAATAAGCCTTGCCGCGGCGAGGAAATTGCTGAGTGGTGAGCGCGTGGGGGAGAGACTACCGCAAAGGAATCGATTGTATTGCAACAGGATACACCAGCAAAGAAGGATCTGGGAAAGACATAAGTAGGTATGCAATTATCTACTAGATGCCTCTCAACTATGAGTGCGGGCAAGGAGGGGGCACTCGGCAGCATCTTCGCCTTTGTCATTTTCCATGCTCAGCGGTCCTCGGTCTCCTCCTGTGCCATCGCATCACCACCACCATCTCTTTTGCTAACCACCTTTCGCTTGCACATGCAAATCAAATGCATCCTACCGTCTAACTCCCCTTTCGAGGGCCACAAGAACTAGCCAACGCTGCCAACTCCATGGGCTAGCCCACTATTACCACGATTATCATTCTGGTCCTCGGTCTGCTCCTTCCTTACCTTGTTCCCCGAGGAGACTGTCACGTGCAACACCGCCTGCCCCAAAATCTTATCGCATCCAACAGATCCCCGCCTCATTCTACGCAAGTCGGGCTATCCCAGCACAAGACAACTTGCAGCCAGCCTCCCACTCACCCCCATACGCCCCTTCGGTCGATGTCGCACCGCAACGTTCGTGCAAACCAACGCTCTCGGGAACTTGGAATATCCTTCTGGTACAAACGCCATCGGAATCGCGCCCTTATACGCGGCGGAAGATGCCACAATAGAGTGAGAAGTATCAGGTACGATATATCAAGCCGGACTAACTCCTGTCTAGCATGGTTGCAGTTCACGGTCCGGCAGTCACGCCATCGGCGACTCTAGAGGCAAAGATAGCAACATGATCTAGTTGCGAGAGTTTTCCCCGAAGACGTCCCCAATGCTCAGATCGCCGTCTACAGATACGAGCCAGCCATTACAGACAAAGACAACAAGATATCCATCCCCCGCCTGGCCAAGTGCTTGCTAGAGTCATGCAAGGCCTATTGTAAAGCGACGAGGTACTATCTGAATCGTTCCCAGCAATAACTTTACCGGTTCTGAAGTTCAAAAACAACCCGTCGGCCGATTATATTCGTTGGCCAGAGCTTGGGGATTGGGGGAAGCTTTTAATTAAAGTGGTAGGCCAGAATCTCCCATTCCGCTCTCCTCAGGTTCCTCCACTAACCAGACCACAGGCCTTGACCATTGCATCCGACGGAATCACAGACCATCAAAATACGACTCCTTCATGTCCTCATACGGCTTGGTGTTCTTCGAAGTGCCCAAACATGGTATAAGGCTCGGAAAGCTCAAGGGAATCACTTCCGGCCAGATAAACGCAGAGCTCATACATGGTTTAGAGCTTGACTCGGATTCAGAACCAGTCTCATATCTTCGAAGCATCCAAGACTACCTCGTCCCGCTGGGCGCGCTCGTCGTCGTCGAGACGGAAAGGATGGGATTCCACCACATTGGCTTCGCAAGATTACGTTTATCAGTTGTCACAGAAAGCTGGGTCCGCCAATGAGGATCGTATCATGCTACGATGAACCAAAGACTGCTACCATTGTTGTTCGTCTTCCTATGTTCCCCCCTGAGGATGAGAGATAGCACGCTGACAGTAACGTGTACCAGATGGACAGTCAGGAAAAACTGTCATAAGGAGGTACTCCTTCATTCATGGTTACGCAACAATCAGCATGCCGAATTGGTTTCCAAGACGGCAGACAGCCTCTACCCTCCGACCATTTCAGCTTAGTCAAGCTCTTCAGTCAGGCAGATCCAAACTACAGAATAGTTCAGTACGGGCTCCGAGCGCTGGTCAAGGATGGGCCAGATGTTTTTTCTAAACGGTTCCAGGCCCAAGTTGGTGTGTACAGGACGATATGTAATCCCAATATGAATCCAATCGGGCTTTGCAGAGCCTTCAGAAGACGAAAAGCGACACTGGGATGACCTGAACGTGCCTACCATGCCTTTATCGACAACGAAGAACCAAATCGGCTTCTAAACCGCGGAGGGGACAGAAGCTTCCTTCGGCATACCTTGATGACTTCTGGAGAGCCTTCCACGGTCTAGTCGAACGCAGCCCAAATCAATGGATCTATTTCATAATCGATAGCCTAAGCCTATACGAAACGTTGATTAAAGGTCTCGTGGCCAATCTACACGAGATGATCAATCAAATAAGGAGTGTTCGACATCAGGTTGTTCATGACCAGTGGGCCAACCAGCCCTATAGAGATGTTCCCGTCTCGGCGCAGCACAATTTCCCAGACAGTCGAGCAAACACATGGAGGCTTTCATCGAGGCATAGATTTTCTACTATCTGTCTTCAATAATTCCATGAAAGAGACTGTTTTCCACCACCTTCTTTATTCTGCAGAAGATATCTTTCTTTGGATCCATATTGTGATCAGAGAACTCAGAAACATACAATATGTTTCCAGAGAGTCAGTTCAGAATATTCTCAATGAAACACCACAAGAGCTCGGTGACTACCCTTCTTCGGGCTGCTTTCAGAGAGTATTATGAGATGGCTGTTTTAGCTTGGGTGGCTTACGCGATGACACCGCTTTCTGTTTAAGTATTGGAAGCAGCTGTGACAGGAATGCATACCAGCTCGAATAGCCTGGCAGCGTGTTCCGAGAATAAGTCTTTCTTTGACGATGAATCTATCCGAGCCCACTTTGGAGCCTCGATCGATGTCATCGATGATACGGTCTCCTAATACCTCAGTCTTCGCCGGATTTTGAGAGATCTCACCCTCTAGAAGGGTATATTAGCTTGAAGCTTGGATGAACAAACATCATGCCAGGAAGAGCGTGTATAAGACGTCTGAGCTTCAATGACTTCCATTCAGAGGAAGAGACCTTCGGTTTGGGGCAATAGGAAGACGTATTCGGCATGCGCGGAGTGCCATCCTACTACCAAGGCCTATGTAACGAAAACCTCTTTCTATTTTACGTATCGAGTTATTGGGACCTTTATATAGAGAGCGCCGAGGGCCCCGGAGATCAGGACACCAAGCCCTAACGCGCATCTTCCAAGGCTCAAAAGTTCTGTGTTTAGCTGCGGCGACTAGCAAAGTTCGAGGATCCTGATCAACCTCGCTTCGAGAAAAGAGACACGTTGGACAAGTTCCTTCACTCAGTTCCCCATAGTGCCGTTCTTCTCAACTTGAGGCTAACGAGGGCTTCCGGGGATAAGGCTTTGCCTAACCAGATACATTTACCAATGACTCCTTGCTTTTGGCTGCCAGGGTGTGAGCGGGAGATTTATTTCGCAAGCTGCTGCAAGAAGACATCTCGCCGAGACTTAGTGTTGCCATGGCAGTTGTCACAGAGGTAACGGAACAGTTGGTAAGCGGCAAGGGGATGCCGGAGCTGCTGCAAAGGCGAAACGATAAGGTGCATGCCTTGCTCGAAAGTCTCCTAGCAGCGGCGGGAAACAATCTCCCAAGGGAGGAAATCCTAGAGCCATTGCTTGAGTATGCTTTCTTGCAGTTCACACAGCGGGAGCAGAGCGATTTGTTGAAAAGAGAGAAAATCTGGAATACATCCTTGAGGGGAGACAGCGAAAATTTCCTCTTTCCGTTGAACTCCTCACTGCGGCAGCAAGAAATGCTAACCAAAAGAAAGAATTACTAGAGTACCTCCTTCAGAAGAGAGATGACAAGGTCTAATTCTGGTGTTCACAGCAGCAGCAGGAGATTATAATCAGCAGAAAGAAATATTCAAGTTGTTGCTAGACAAGAGGGTTTATGAGGCTCTCGAGTTCGTCGAGGTGCTCCCTAACCGATGGAAAGAAATACTCGAGCTGTTACTTGAGAAGTGCGGTGATCAAATCCAGATTGGGCCTGACGTGATTATAGAAACTTCTGCAGCCCAGGATAGAGGCAGTGCATTGGAGATGTTCCTAGGGGAAAGAGGTAGTGAGATCCAACTTACACGGGCAGCAGCCGATACGGTACTCAGTATGGAGGCAGCACGAAGAGGGAAGTCAGATCAACGATGTTCTTGAACTGATAACACCGAATGCAAGGATATATAGTAAGAGATTGCCACATATATATTGCCTTCAAATTTTCCGTTAACTTAGTATATTAATATTTAATTTAAACGTGTTGTTAGAAGACTTCGGTGTAAAGGGAAGCATTCCACGCCCGCGGGTTTCGTTATCGATAAGCGGCAGACACAAAAAAATTAATGCCCCGCGATGACCTGAATCTCAACTCAAGACGTCATTTGCTTCCAACTTTACCATATATCTGGAAATAAGTCCGGCCCTTCGCCCTAGTTGACCGTTTAGAATTGAAATCTTACATTTTCCCGTCTCTTTCTCCCTCGCGACCGGGGTATTCAAACCCAACCCTCACAGCCGCCATGGCTGCCCCCGCCGACACAATCAATGCCCCTCTCGAGGTCCAACAGTCGAGTCCAGCAACACCATCCGAGTCACCAGCCCCTGCCGAGCCGTCGACCACCAAGCCCATCCACAGCCTCGTCCTCGACACGGGCCCTCTCATCAAGAATGACCCTCCCGCTGATGTGCTGCGGGCCCGCGCAGAGCAACTCTACATCCTCCCGTCCGTCCTCCCCGAAATCCGCGACGCTGCCACCCGCACCCGCGTAGAGACCACTCTGATGCCGTTTGTCACCGTGCGCGCGCCCAGACCTGCCAGCATCAAGATCATAACCGACTTTGCTCGCCGCACTGGCGATCTCGAGGTCCTGAGTCGCCCTGATATACAGGTCCTCGCCCTCGCCTACGAGCTCGAGTGCGAACGCAATGGTGGAGACTGGAGGCTGAGGAGTACCCCGGGGCAGAAGACCCTGAATGGAAAGCCGCCATCAAAAGAGGGGGAGGTTAAGGAGGGCGAGACACCGGCACAGCCAGCCGAGGGCCAAGAGACGCAAGAGCAGCCATCAGCCGAGTCACAAACCAACCAGGCACCAGAGACCTTGTTGGAACAGACGGTGGAGCAACTGAGCATTGAGGAATCTGGCGAGAAGAAGAGCGACGATACCCCGGCGGCAGACGCAACCACTAAGACAGAAGAGATACAGCCGGCTGACGACGACAAGGTCGAAGAAGTCGTGGTCGTTGAGGACGATGGCGAGGACTCGGACGACCTCAAAGACGAGAACGACGACGAGGAGGACGACGGCGGCTGGATCACCCCGTCCAACGTCAAGAAGCACAAGGCCAAGGACACCAACACATCCACCTCCTCCGGCGCGGCGCCCAAAACCCTCCAAGCCGCCGTCCTCACCTCCGACTTCGCCATGCAGAACGTCGCCCTCCGCATGAACCTCAACCTCGTCTCCCCGGCCCTCACCCGCATCTCCCACCTGCGCACCTGGGTCCTCCGCTGCCACGGCTGCTTCCAGATCACCCGCGCCATGGACCGCCGCTTCTGCCCCTCGTGCGGCCAGCCCACCCTCCTGCGCGCCGCCTGCACCGTCGACGACCGCACCGGCGCCCTGACCGTCCACCTCAAGCGCAACTTCCAGTGGAACAACCGCGGCAACGTCTACAGCGTGCCCAAGCCCGTCCACGGCTCCGCCAACGGCCGCGCGCCCAAGACCAAGGGCACCCACGGCGGCAAGAACGGCTGGGGCCGCGACCTGATCCTGTCCGAGGACCAGAAGGAGTACACCCGCGCCCACGACGAGCAGCGCCGCCAGCGGAAGAAGGACATCATGGACGACGACTTCCTGCCCGGGCTCATCAGCGGCGACAGGGCCGGCGCCGGCGGCAAGATTCGCGTCGGCGCCGGGAGGAACATCAACGGCAGGAAGAAGAGGTAGATACCCCAGTACATAGAACGTGAATGATCTCCTTTTTTATAGTTACGGTAGGGACAACGGGATAGAACAAAAGTATATGAACGTTAATGAATTCTTTTTTTATAATGAGATGAAAGAAAAGCTGCTCTGAGTGTAGAGCTTTTTCTTCCCCCGATCGGTGTATACCAATGATCAAGAAATACCCAACGCCGAGTTACTGTAGCAAAGTCGTTTCGCCCTTGTAGAAAAAAAAACAAAACCTCCCCCTACTCTTCCCAAATCTGGTTTCAGCGGCGTTCCCCCTTGCTGCCACCTTCACTGCCCATATCCTTCGCCTCCGCACTCCCTCTCGATATCGGTTGTGTCATTTACAGCTCCTCAGCCTCTGCGAAAGAAAAAAAAAAGTTAGTGTGCCATGTCGATTCCGTTCAGGAGGAGAAGTCCCACGTACTCTGCTGGGTGAGGAGGAGACCGAAACGCCTCTTCATTGTCACGCGCTGGCGCGACCACTTGTCGTCGGGGGAGAAGCGGGCGGGGTGGGCGGACTTGGTGACCTGGCCGTGAGCGACCTTCTTGAGGGTGTAGAGGCGCTTGCCTTCGGCGTCGAGGGTGTACATCAGATGCATGGCGGGCGAAGAATTTTATTATGCGCTGGTAGATCTTGAATGTTTAGGCGGCTCGTTGGGCTTCGAAATGTCGTCAATTGATCGGGTTCAGAGGTTCGTGAACGGGCTTTTCAATTGTTGGCTGGCGGCTGGAAACTGGAGATGGTTGGCTTGGTGGTTTGGAGCATCAGAAAATTTCCAATCTGGTCACGTGTGTGCGCTGGAGCTTGCTATCGATAAGCAATTGGGAATGTTTAGTGGCCCATATTTACCCGAGGGACTTCGAGGTGCGGAAAGTTCAATTGGCAAGACTTTCATGATTGACCTAACCTAGAGCAGATCCATACGATCCAGGCACCTTGTTTTTGATCGCGTGCCTTGATTCGATTAACTTTTGGGGAAAAAGTAAAGATGACGAACAGTGGGGGCGCGCGAGCTAAATGTTATCAAGATTTGTGCTGGCTTTATTAGTCTGAAGCACGCAATAAGGCTCTGTCGGTCACTGTATAATAGCTGGCTGTGGTGCCTTTACATCGACACTCCTTTGGTGGATGTCGTGCTTCCCTACATTAAAAGCTCCTAGACCGTGATTTATATCACATCATCAAGTGCTGGTTCACGCTGACATGTATTTGAGAAAGACCAAACATAGATTGTTCATTGCAAATGAGAGTCATCAGAGTAAGTAGCTAATAAATATGCCATGAGCCAAACAGTGTAATGGCAAGACCAGAGAGCCGTACGGGCTTTTGTGAAATGAATAACCAAGAAGCATCACAATATGCCAAAAAAAGGAACCCAGATCCAAATCAATCAGACGAGGATCATCTCCGTCAAAATAACATGTGACAATTTGCATCATCCGCCTATTATCCAAGAAAAAGATAAAAAGAAAGCAAGCAAAGGGGACGAGTGCCGGTGGGAGATTTTACTCGTCCTCGCCGACACGGGCTCCCTTCGTTCCGGTCCACCCGTCGCGCTCATAGAAGCGGAAGACCAAATCATACTCCTCAAAGTCATGGACGATTCGGTCAACGCGGCGGTATCCGCGGACAGGATCCACAAGCTTCTGCTTGAGTGGACCATTGCCATCGCCCATGCCATATGGGTTGGCGCTCTTGCCCTTGCCTTCAAACAGGGTCACGCTGAACCGGCCAGGCTTGAAGATGTTGACAACATTCTCAATGATCTCCGCCGTGGAGCGGCCAGAGGCTCCGGCGGGCACATTGGTCTCGAACGAGGCAAAAGAGCACTCCGGCTCAGGCGTGACGTGCACTGTGAAGTAGTGACCGGCATCCTTCTCATCCTTTCCGCCCTCAGAAGGATGGGCTGCCGGGATCACACCATTGGCGGAGAAGCCGCAGGGGCCAAAGAGGTAGGCATCAACGCGAGCATCAGGGTAGGTGCTGGTTGGGTAGACGTCGGAGAGGCCGCAGTTCTCCGAGACAACAGTGCCTAGCGCATGGCCCTCGGTGGTGAGAGCTTCGATGGGATCCAGCTTCTGAGGCTCGCCATCGAGTTCCATTTCCTCCCCATTTCCAAAAACGTCCAATTCGTCAAGAGTGCCAAGGCTGCCAACTGCCTTATCCCGAGCCTGCTTCGCCTCGGCAGCCAACTTATCGCTCGCGACCGCACTCGCGTGCGAAAGATAAAACTGCTTGGCATTCTCGGGATCGAGGTCCGTCATGAGGATCTCGAGCGTCTCGTCGCTGTGCTCATCATACATTCCAGCTCCGACCAAAGCCGTGCCGGCGGGGATCTTGACATGGCGGCCAGCTACAGGCTCCAAGGCCTCGGATTCAGGGGTCCGAGGGGGAGTCAGGGCTTGGTTGGGGGAGGTGATGTAGAGATACCAATGATCGCCATTCATCTTTCCCACCATGTAGGCGCTGCCTCCATCGAACGTGTCATCGAGGAACTTGACCTCTTGCTTCCAGCTGCGGTGGGGGCCACGCTGCTTGTCCGGGAACAGAAAGTTCTTGCGGCTGTAAAAGACCCGGTAAGGGGTGGCAGCAGCATGAATATCGGTGACCGAGGACGCATTGTGGAATGGGAACCCAGCCTCAGTGGCGGCAATGTGAAGCATGCGACGGAGACCCAGGAGCAAAGTGGTTGTGCCACAGGTCTTGAGAATCAGCTTGTGGGGGAAGACGAAGAAGCTGGACTCGGAGAGAAGGTAGGCATCCACAGGGTCAGACTTGAGAACAGAAAGGATCTTGCAATTGACCATGTCCAACATTGTGACCCAAGTATCGGCGTGAACAGTCTTCAGACCGTCGGGACGAGCGCCAGGCGGGAGCGCCGTAGCGCTTGGGGCGAACCACACCTCGAGGAGCTTCTCAGGGCCTAGTTAATATAGTTAGTATCGTGGGAGCAAAATCCAAGGGCTCTCAGGACTACTGCTGTCGCAGGAGCAGCAAACGTACCTTCGAAGGCATTGGAAGAGTCGAGATCGGCCGCGACATCATGATTAATAGTCAAATGAGGTGTCGCATCCGATGGCGAGAAGGTGTAGTTGTTGGGGACCGATTGGCTGATCATACTCGTAGCGGCGAGGGGTCGTCGACTTCGATTGAGTGGCTAGAGACGGATGGGCGATCACGAGAGATCGGAGAAGGGGATCAGGAGGCGGATTGTTTTTCTTTGCCCGTATGGCAGAGTCCGCGGAGCACTAGCTGCCACTCAAACAGACCTTGCGGCGTCCGTTTGAGAGAGTAGGCCCACAGGAGGGTAGGGCTCGTAAATGCTGGCGGAAGCCAGCTGCAATCAGTTATGTGATGGAGTCGGTCTAACGTCTCTGTAGAGGGACGTTATGGAGGCTGGAGGCGAGGCTTGACGAAGCTACCAAAGCGAGGTTGGATGTTGGCAAGAGGATCCGGATATCTGGGGGCGGAATGGCGGGCGAAGCTGCTGGAAGCTGCTGTAATGTTGCGGTATCTGGTGGTGGTGCTTGAATATCCCGAAGGGGTGCTATCGAGGCCTGGGTGGACGTTAGCAGGAGAGAGGCATGATTGGTAAAGGCGCAGGCACGTGAGCGGAAACATACTTGGAAGGGCGGGAGAAGAGGAACCGAAGGAGGTCTGTCGAGGGCATAGAAGGCCAGAGGAGGTGAAACAAGAGTCAGGCGGGCAAGACGGTCGCGGGATGGTTCACGGCCGTCTCAAGAGGTGTGCTGGGTGATCCAGAGGACTAGTGATGTAATTTTGACATTGATGGGAAGGAACAGAATCAAGCAACGGATCAAGACACAATTTAAGCTGTCGAGAGGAGAAACAAGCTTTGGTGGTCGTGTGAGTTGATGCCCAGTTGGGATTGTGGCTTGGTCGCGGGGAGGCAGAAACTGAAGCTTCTGATTGTCCAGAGGAAATAAGGGGCTGGCGGCGAGCTGACGTAGGATGGCTGATTGTTGTTTGTGATTGCTTCCGAATGCAAAGTCGGTGAGAGATTAATGAGGAGGAGGAGGATTGAGAGGTGATGGATCGGATCGAGACGAGAAAGCTGAATTACGGCGAGCGAAGTACCTCGAGGTCACAAAACGGAGCTGGCAGATTGGCCAGCGAGCGTCATGCTGCTGCCAATAGCGGGGGCGGGCAAAAAAAATTAGGAAAAATTCTGGCGCACGGGCGGGGCCCCTTCCTCCAGCGTCATAGGTGCCCGCTGCACTGTTCCAGGACCTGTAGCTGTTGCATAGCGCTGTCTGAATTCGCTACAGCGGTTGGTGCGAAAAACTGGGGCCTCCCGGGCGCTGCAGAACCTGAGCTTTTCCGCGCCCACGTTGATTGGGCTGAGCTCAATTTCACGAGCCAGCCCAACCATTCGGAACAGAGGCGAGGGTAATAAGAATCATTCCATTCTGGCCACGACCCTCGCCTGCGGTACATCCTCCGGGAGCCGGCCAGTCCCTCCTACAGCAAGGACCTCCCGACAGCACTCCGCTGCATGAGCAAGACAAAGTTCGGCACGTAATGTCCATCCATACCAACCAAAACCTTGGAATATGTGGATATCCTAGACACCGATGTAGCACCACCTCAGCCATTCGCAATCGCGACGTAAATCGCGGGCACAAACCAAGCACTTGCGACTTCCGCTGCACAAAGATGGCCGACCCGTGAGACACCAACAAGCCGCGCGTAACCCTGATATGCAGACGATAATTCAATATACCCCAAACAGCCAAAATACGGTGAATTGCAACATCGATGGCGATAGCGTATTTATCCAATTGGCCCAACGCGTGCCAGCGGAAAGCTTCGTCCCCTCCATGTCACCGCAAACAACCATCCCCTAACCACAATATTCGGGCCTACCCTGTACCTACGTAGCCATCGGCTTGTTTCTCCTAGGTAGTTTGCTGCAGCATCAATCACCATAAAAGCCACTTGTCGTAGCAAACAATGTTGCTCTCAATGTTGCTCTATTGACCCAAATCAGGCCTGCAGGACGACCGTCCGGGTTGTGCCGCTGTGGTCATACCCTGGTCCCTGTTCCACACCCAGCATGGAAGATCGCACGGAAGCTTCCCCAGTCGGGTTTTTTCCCCTCTGTCATGATACATGAAGCAGGACAATTCTGGAATCTCGATTGCCAGATTATCTAATTTCCATCTTGAGCTGCGATGGCGTCTTCACATTTGTGCAGGGATGGTCGTTCCAGCTACTAACAATAAACATCTATCGCGAAAGTACGTTCGTCTTGGTCATCATGTTACGGAAAAGGTAGACTTGGCTCTTTAATTATTTTGATTTTGATTTTGTGCTCTGTGCTCTGTTGCGACCCAGGCTTCCTGTTGCAACCTCCCCTTTACACAGCATCTACAGTGCGTGACCCTGCGGTCTACAATCTTGCCATCACGGTCTCTGGCCAAGTGCCAGGAAGGAAGTGATTGCTTTGGATGGATCGCGGGTGTAAGAGTTGTCAGCAGCGCAGCGCAGGTTCGCTCTATGCTTAGCTAGTTGGAATCCCCAATACGCCTAGACGGGCGCGGGTATATCCAATCCCATTGTGCTGAGTTGGGATGCATCGTAGCCCTCATGGGAAGGGAAGAGAGCCGTCGAGACGCAGGGGATCGTAGCTTGTGATCGCAGAAAGTTGAGATAGATCTTCATCCCAATAGATTACCGCATCTCACCTCCCGTCCCCTGCCTGAACGGCCTGCACCACCTGTTCAGTGATGCCCTGGAAAAGATGGAACAGAAGGCAATCCTTGTACTTTTCAGCCAGCGTGCCGTCTTTGCTGCCCGCTTGCCCGCCGTTGGAGATATCCCGGCCGTTCACGACCGTTCCCTCCGGGTACGTCGGCCGGATCCCTTCCTCAATTAGCGCGACAAACTGCGCATCAATCGGCACCGACCCAAGGAACGGCACCCGGAACTCGTCGGCCATCTTCTTGCCGCCGCCGGACTGGAAGATGTCGGTGCACTCCGAGCAGTGCGGGCAGACGAACCCGCTCATGTTCTCCACGACGCCGAGCACGCGCAGCCCCGTCTTGGTGCAAAAGTTGAGCTCCTTGCGCACGTCCGCCGTCGCGACCGCCTGCGGCGTCGTCACCACCACGGCGCCGGCCACCTGACCGGGGAGCGCATCCCGCTGCAGCGTCTCGGCCAGGGATATGTGCTCGTCGCTGGTGCCCGGCGGGGTGTCGATGAGGAGGTAGTCCGTCGGAGCCCAGAGGGCGTCGCTCAGGAACTGTCGGATCATGGCCGTCTTCTTGGGCCCGCGCCAGACCACGGCGTCACCCCGCTTCGGGAGCAGGAAGCCCAGGCTCATAGCGTGGAGGCTTCCGATGCCCCTTTCCTCGTCCGCCTCGTGCACGAGGACGGGGGCCCAGCCGCCGGGCACCTGCGTCACTTTGGAGGCTTCGATGGAGAGCATTCGTGGGATCGAGGGGCCGGTCAGGTCGACGTCGAGGATGCCCACCGAGTGGCCGGCGAGGGAGAGGGAGAGGGCGAGTTGGGTGGTAACGGACGATTTGCCGACGCCGCCCTTGCCGGAGAGAACCTAAGATTTGCCCTTGGGTTAGAGAAGATGTGCGTGCGGTCCAGGTGAGGGCGTACATACTAGCACGATGTGCTTGACATTCTGGAGACCCATGATGCCAATCCGCTATCAACGGCGGGAGCAACGAACTTTAGCGCTAATCAAAGCAGATAGTAATACCTCTATGCTTGTAGAATTACGGGATGTCAAGAAAGACTCTGGGAATGGGGGTTGGTGGTGGTCGAGAGTTGACCAAGTGCGCCTTTCTGGTGATTATCAAGCAACATTTCGACTGGCGATGGGCTGGTCTGGGTCGAAGATTGCAGAAGCGAATGACATGAGTCGGATTGCAAGGCTGGTGGATGTCATAACCCCCACCACGGCTCTGCCCCGCTGAAATTAGCGATCAACCCCTCCCCCAGTCTGTGCCTTCCTCACGAGCATCTGGCCTACCCTACACCACTCCCCTGGGATAGAATAACGAAGCAGTTACGAATCTCAAAGACAATTATCGACCTACCGTAGTGGTTTTGGCCGTTTTCCACTTCCCTCTTGCCCCTGAAAACTTGTCGGTTCTGCTGAAATTACATCCATGTATTAGATCTGGCCTACAGACGTTGCTGATTTTATGTTTTAATATGTATACCAGTCGACCTTCCTCCTTCGAGAACATAAAACCTCATGGTAGTCACTCCTTCAATGACAGACCACTCGCAACAATGATTGATGGTAAAACCGCGTTGGCGCCCCGAGACCCAAAGAGGCCAATCCTCGCTCTTCCCTCCAGGAAACCTTGTCGCATCGCCACCTCCATATTGATGCTAGATCTAAAGCCCGGGAGGATCAAGATGGAAACAGCCGATCCTGCTCCTCGTCCTCATCCTCAAGCTGGCTCTCATCCACCAGACCAATTTCGACCTCGATCCCTCGACGTCATTGCTAGGAGACTCCATCGCTAAACCGACCTCGGACTCCGGCACTTCGGTCTCGGCAGCCTAGGGCAACTCGCTCCTCTTCTCCGGGTTGAATCGTCGAGACTTGCGCAAAGGGCGCTTCACCGTCCCACAACAGATCAGGATCGCCAGTGAGATCATGCCCGCCAATCACTGTAGTGTGTAGGGAGGCGGTGCTGTCTCAACCCATTCTTCGGAGGCTCCATACTGGCAGCGCCATGTATACAGCTTGTCGTTGTAGTGCCAATGCGCCATTCAGACACCCGTTCAATCCTCTTATCTGGCGAACATCGAGGCCACCCACCGCTCCTCCACAAAGAACCTGGATGCTGGCAGGCACTTCATATGGCTATTCAGGAAAATGAGTCCAAGCCCCATCTCAACGATGCGATCCTGGAGTGGATATCAAATAACTCTTCCACGAGGAAGCAAGAAAAGGGGTTGGGCCTTTGATAAATCGTCACCATTTTTGTCCCGTGTCACCAGCGAGAGGAGAGAGTATTTGTGATCCAGCACAGCAAAACCATCCCATTCCTCATCAAAGGAACGAAACAGCCTGCTTAATTTTAAATTATTATTCAAACTAGAGGGCCAAAAAAAAGGATATCACTGCCCACGTATGCAAAGACCAACGGAACCGATCCGTTCCCCAAATTGATGCCGCCTCGGTATAAACCCCGCCGTCGAGGTTCCCAAGACGCCCCCTCCCCCATAAAAAACCAAACCACCAAGAAGCTTTCCCGAAGCTCCTTATTTTTTGATAACACGACACTCTTCGCCCACCGGTGCCTAAAGCGGCCCGCCGGAATGCCTAGATCGGATCGCCGTCCGTAGTAGGCCCTCCTAAAAACGCCGAGTGTCATATGGATGAGGAGCGACCATTCCCGTTGAGCTCCCATGGAAAATGAAAACCAAGCCGAAAGACAAAGACAAAAAGCAAAAAGCAAGAAAATTCAAGACAAAAGAGATAAGTAGAGGAAAGAGGGGAGATAGATAATAAAGGAAAATAATGCAAATAAAGATCGTGAAGCAAAAGTGGTTGTAGATGAGTGTTGTAGAGTGTTGTAGAGGAGTGTCCTCTCTAGGCCTTGCCCTTGTTCTGGCCCTTGGCGATGGCGTCCTTCTCAGACTCGCTGATGAACCTGATGGAGTCCTTGTGGTACGCGACGATGGGGCGGTCGTCGTTGCAGAAGCCCAGCAGCTCCGCGTGCCTCGGCAGCATGTCCTTGCCGAAGCGGTTGGAGAACCGGACGATGGGGCCGCCCTCGACCGTGAAGCCGATGAACTCGCCGTGGACGGCGTCGTCTTCGTCTGCGTCTTCCGGTGCTTGGATGGTGTTGCTGTGAGGGAGCTTGTATTAGTCTACCGCTTGAGCTAAATGGGATGTTTGCCAGTGAATGACTTACGCCTGGCTCATTGGTGGGCCTTGGTTGATATCGTCGTCGTCATCATCCGAGTTCCTCGCGCGGTACTTCTTGATTCTCGACTTGGTGCAGTCATGGAAGAGATGCAGAAACCCGGCGATGACGAGGACTGGGGTTCCCAGGGCGAGCGCCCACGGTCTGTATGATCGAGTTAGATACATGGTGTTGAGCACACAAGTGACGGCCAGGGCTACTACTTACGGGTGCTTCCGGTCGTTGAGGGCGTGTGCGAGGGCCAGGATGATTCCGACCATGGCGATCAGAGATCCGACCTGGATCATGGTCCATGTGGACCAGTACAGCGACATGAGGTCCTCACCATCGCAGAACTGGAGTGCCAGGAGCGAGTACGCCTCCATGATGACGATTGTGGTCGACACCGCAACACATCCGAGGCAGAGAAATATGTAGAGCCGCAGGCTCTTTGACCGTTTTCGTTTCTCATCGCTGAACTGCTCTATGGCCTTTTGTCCTCTACAACAACGGGAAGAAAAGGATGTTAGCAAGTGTACGACGTATGGTTCGGTGAACCAAGGGGAGACAAATGTACCTTGTGAATGTCCATGAGGCGAGGAAGAGAACCACCAGGTTGCTCATGAATAGGGTCCAGTAGATGATCTTGAACTGCCATCTCACCATGTGCGAGGCAAACTGGGCGTATTTCTGGCAGAGCTCTGGATCCTTGACGAAGGAAGACATCTTGACGGCTGAATAGACGATATCAAGGCTCGTTGAGGTCGAGACAGGATGAAACAGGGATTCTGATTAAACAGGCCCTTCCAGAACGTTTGGCTGTGAGGAGGTGAAGATACCTAGAAAGGAGGTCCTGGTTCCATCGAGGAATGGGCAGGATAGATGTATTAATTATGTCTCTGGTAGGCCCGGCTGACACTTTGTTCAAGTGCAGAGAACGGGACGAGTTACATGGGCCCATGGGTGATGGACGTGGCCCCCTTGTCTTGGAAACTTACTTGCGTCCGTCTGATGCCCAACCAAGTCAGTGCTTCACAAACCATCGCTGCACATCTCCACCGCGAGGATGGGCAAACCTCACGCCGTGGTACCAGGCAGAAGGGGGTGCGTCCAAGGGGGCAAACACCCGGATCTGGTTGAAGGTGGGACATGGACACGCAATCGACTGGCAGATATGCGGCCTGGGGCTAGTGACCACCGGGATGCCGTAGATCACCGCCTCCAGGCAAGATAGTCGGATATCTTGGTGAAATGCCAAGACATATCACAACATTTCTGGTATGGAATATGGATAACGAGTGGTGTAATGCTGACAATTGACCTCTGGCAGTGCTGGTCCCGCCCCTCCCATGACCCTCTCTCCCCCAAGATGACGAGTCTTGGCTAGCGGACAATCTACCCATCATGCAATCTGTGGTCGTCCGGATCATGGATCTAAGGAGCAGAGGTATGTTCGCCCGTCCCTCTGTGGGGTGCAGCTTGAGAATAGGGGCGTGAACTGAGCATGCAAACTCTTCCGACCACTATAACGACCAGGCATCTGGCTATAGTTGTGCAATCTTCTGGAAACGGGACTGAATGAAACGGGCATCAGATTGGGCATCGACATCATCTCTTTCTGGCCTTATCTGGGCCTGGAGGGCTTAGAATCCATGTCTCGTACAGGTTCCACCCGACCAGGTCATCGCCCTTCGCCGGGAGGCAACAAAAGGTGAAAAAGCAAACCCAAGAGCTTGGTCCCGCCTGTCGCCAATCTCCCTTGGCTGCCATCTCCCGGGGGCCTGCGACTAGACCGCAGGGGTGGGAGCGCCGGATTCTGACAGCCGCCGGCCAAGGGCCATCCCATGGGCGGCGGACCGGCGCCGCGTAATAGTCGACATATAATTAGGTTATATAGATGGAGCGGAGCCAGCAATTGTGCTAATGGATGGGCGGATTCCTCAGTTTGGTTTTCAACCTGCCCCTATTCGCTGGATCTGCCCCAGACGACCTCTCAGATCTAAGACCCCACGGCTAGATTTGACCTCGAGCGAGTGCTGATCAGGTATGAATGGAGGAATTGTCCTTGGGGGGGGGGGGGGTTCGCGGTGGGCGTGCGAAACCTTGGTTCTTCTTCTGAATCACCAACCCAAACGTCATTCCTGCTGAACGGCCGCCGGCGCTGGTTGGGTTATGCATATTAATGAGCTTGAAAGCTTCGTGGGGTGTGAGAGGGCGGAGGCAAAATGTAGTGCGACTTAGCATGTTGGTGACCGCTGCCCATCACGGCACTAATTGGCTGGCTATCCAGCATCACCCATGTGGTGGTGCCAAGTTAGCCTCTGGGAAATCTCACTTGTCTCTGCTTGGGGGCTGTGCGTGCGGTGAAGGGCTGCTGCAATCTCTTAACACAATGTCGACATGGGTGCGGCGTGGTCGTCCGGGGCCAGGGAGGGAGGGAGGGGAGGGCAGAGACGCACGCAGCCGCGGTGCCGCTGGGGGTCTACCCGCCTGGGCGTGTCAAGCTCGTGGCCTGCTCGACGGCCTGCTCGTTCTGACTCGGTCGGCTGGAATCCCCGTACGCCTCAGACGCAGGGCTCCGGGAGCCTGGAGCCACGGCCTGGTCGACACGGACCCCCTCTGGCCTGAGAATGTGGGCTTATGGCGCTGGTTAGTGCGACCATCACAAGCCATGGACCCAAAAAATATGGTTATCTGAGATGAGTCACCCCCTTGCGGCACTCGAAGCTCCATCGTGGGAGAGTTGGGAGAAGGCATTGGAGCAGAGTTTGGGCAGCACGCACCGGCCCCCCTGTCGTGCTGCCAAGCGGATCGATCAGTCATCACCCACCAGAGAAATTGAAGGCCCACCCGCCCAATCTCGTGTTGCTCTTTGCGAAGAGCTGCCTCTGCAAATAGCCACACCGCGGCCAATGGCGCTGTTTGCTGGTAGCAACGTTTGATGGCTGCTGAAACAAGTGAGTCAGGTGACCCAGGCCAGGTGTGATATGAGGCTCAAGGGGGACCCCTACGTTAGCCCAGCAAGTACCGGAAGTTTGTTGCCAGCCGGCGTCTTGGCGGCCACCGGGGCCCGAACAGGACCGTGTGTCGAGATATCGGGGCGTTGTCTGGCCAGAGTTTGCTGTTACAGGTTGCTGGCCCTGTCCGCCCACGCTCCCGAAGGCAGGCCTGCCCTTTCGTCATAGGAATCCAAGCAGACTCTTGGCAGTGCGAGTCAAGGCGCGGCTTCCTGCACATAAGAATGCAACATGCTCGATACACCGACGAAGCACTGATGCTATGCTAGCAGGGGTGCGGGGAGGATGGACGCTGTGGTACGCTTAGCGCAGGCTGGTTGCGCAGGTTGCCATCCGTGATCCATCCGCCCGCCGTTGTCGTGTGCTGAGTGAGATATGAGGGCCTCTTGGTGTTTCACCCCGACGGCAGGACCGGATGAACGAATAGTTGGGCACAATTATGATATCCTCTTCTTCTCTCGAGCTACCCTCTCGTCCCAACGGTGCCGTTTTGCCGCCATTCGCATCGAGTGTCGCCTGCATACACAGAGGCTTCACCACCTCCCCACAGGCCGGATCGAAGGGATTCCGTTGCTAGTAGCGTTTCCTATGCCGTGACCGCAAGACGATAATGGAGCCCTGTGTGCGTCCAATGGCATGCAAAGCCAATGTCTCAAATCAACGACATAAGGCCGAGACTCGAGATAAGGTTAGTGTGGTTAATGGAAATGATGATTCGCCAATCTCATTAGCCTACGCAATGACGGTGGCCTTGTCAACATTTCACTGCCACAAAGCTTGCATTAGTGAGCTTAGCAATGTTGCACTGCCGTGAGCTACTGCCAGAGTGTAACAGGATCACCGCAACTATTGCCGTCAATCAGTTTGGGTTATGTGGGTTTGTGGGTTAGTGAACCGGAACTTACGTATGGAGACTGCGACGGGGAGCTTGTTATCAATGCAAACTAAGTTGACATCGTCTCCAACTTTCGTCAACAGGCAGAAATGCAAAGCGAGGCTACTGCCTCTTGCCCCCAGTGATCGACACGCATAGCTCCGTGGGGGGTTTCTTGGCCAACCTCCAGCGAGCGGGCTGCCCAATGGAATGAGACGAGGCCTCCGGCAGTCGTGTCGACGGTCGTCAGCCTTCGGCACCTGCTTGAAGGCGGCCTCCAGGGACGGAGCTTTGCCAAGCAAGATCTTACGGTAGCGGGGGAGATTGGGTGAGTGACCACCTGTGCAGAAAGTGGCGACCGACCGGAGGATGGACAAATGAGGGTGACATTTGGCTCTTGGCTCTATCTCGACCGACCCCGGCGCGGGTTACCATCGGCGATTAAGGCGTATGGACACGAGTTCACCCAATCACGGCACCAGAACGTTGTATCTCGACAATGTCATGGAGGAGGACTCTGACATGGTGATTGCGAGCCCAGGAGACTCACCGCTAACTCTGCCACAGAGACATGTCTCAGGACAGCTCCAGTATCAGCCAGGCCTCGGTGCCTCGGGTCCTCTGGGCATTGTTGATAAGATCTGATCCCTGGTGGACATTGTGATGAGCAGAGCCAACAATGGCTGTGCAATCATGTGATGTCATGGCCTGGTACTTCTGTTCTGGCAGAGGATGAGGTGCTGATAAGCCAGATGATGAGCTCTAGGTATGTTTCATCGGACAACCCCCGCAATGCCTTCAGACAAAAAGCCTTGGGATGCGCAAGATACCATGTAGAGGTGGTATGAATTAAGTTGCAGAGGGGTACAATGCCGGCGTTCTGCAGTGATCACCCTTAATGGACATCACAGGAGACTGCGCCTTGTGATAGGTGACACATTGGTCTTGGAGGGCCAGGGCGGATCTGTAGCAGGCTGGATCGAGAAGCCTGAAGGGGGTGGTCATAGAAGACGCCGTGCCGTGGAGCGGCACAAAGCTTGCCACCTGGTCCAGACTAGGACCGCAGAACCTGACGATCGTAAACTTGGCGGTTTGCTGCATGAAACGAGCTGCAGGCCGACGAACTTGTGTGATATCAGATACGCGTGGCACCTCGATTAGGGACTTGAGGGCCTCGACATCGGGAAGAAACGGAACAGAGCAGCGGGATGTGATGGAGATGGATGCATCAGCCGTGGGAAAGACGTTGTTCTCTCAACTAATGTGAGGGGAAACTTGGCGGTCGGGTCATCATGGAGATGCCAGCGTGCAAGCTGCCGTGGTGGCTTGCATCGGCTGCCTCCTTGGTGCTGCAACAAGGGATATTCAATATCCGTTCTCTTGGCATTGCGAGGCCAAGCGTCCACAGGCGGGAGCACGTTGCCCGATGGAAGTCGTAGAACCGATGATGCATGAAGAGGGGAAGTGAATGATGTTACGACTGTCTTTCGTTGACTCAGTGTCTTGACGGGGATGTTGAGGGCACATCACATGCACAGTACGTACTGCGAGTGCAAGACAGGCATCTTACGTTTGAAGAGTTAATCCTAACTACGATTCGGGCTGTTAGCTGTTGGTTATTTGATGGCAAGCTTTGGAAATTGAATGATACAATTTCTCAAGTTCTTGAAACCCTCTCTCTATCAGATAGACATGCTCTATCTTGTTCGTGGGCTCAAGCTCTGGACTATGCCCTGACTTCTAGCATTCTAGCGACTGACCACTGTGGGATAGGCTGTTATAGTGGGTGAGGGGGCAGCTGGACCCAGAACATTGATAGAACCCCAGACGGGAAAAGGTTGTTCCGAGCCGCACACTCCAATTCTGACCTCCGGCGAAATTGTCCAGATTTGCCCCACCAGATTTCTTGATCCCAACCAAACGACCAACAAGCAGCCAGATAGATGATGGTGTGTGTGGCCCCTCCCTAGAGACCGCCGCACGAAACGAACCAAGTGTCCGCCACCACCTGCGTCCGACAACGATACCCATTTGATACCCGGACAAGCACACTGTTTCCCACAGCAGGAAACGTACCCTCGACATGGTGCTTCAAGACCTCGGACGGCGCATCAACACCGCCGTCTCCAACCTGACCCGTGAGCAGAACCTCGACGAAAAGGTAAGGTCCCAGCGGACATGAACATGCGACGGAATATCAGATTGGACCGAAGAATCAGTATATCAATGGATGTAGGCTAATGCAGGCTTCTTTCTACGATAGGCTTTCGATGGCATGCTCAAGGAGATTTGCGCCGCCCTCCTCGAGGCCGACGTCAACGTCAAGCTGGTCGGCCAGCTGCGAAAATCCATCAAGACGACCGTCAACTTCAAAGAACTGCCCCCCGCCGTCAACAAGAAGCGCCTGATCCAGAAATCCGTCTTTGACGAGCTCGTCAAGCTCGTCGACCCGCACTCGGAGCCCTTCAAACCCAAGAAGGGCCGGTCCAATGTCATCATGTTCGTCGGTCTTCAAGGTGCCGGCAAGACGACGACCTGCACCAAGCTCGCCCGGCACTACCAGACCCGCGGGCTGCGCGCGTGCCTCGTGTGTGCCGATACCTTCCGAGCCGGTGCGTTCGACCAGCTGAAGCAGAATGCAACCAAGGCCAAGATCCCATACTACGGTTCCCTTACGGAGACGGATCCGGCGGTGGTGGCACGGGCCGGTGTGGAGCAGTTCAAGAAGGAGAAGTTTGATGTGATCATCGTCGATACCTCGGGTCGACACAGGCAAGAGTCGGCTCTGTTCCAGGAGATGATGGACATCCAGACGGCCATCAAGCCGGACGAGACCATCATGGTTCTGGACGCCTCGATCGGTCAGCAGGCCGAGTCACAGGCCAAGGCCTTCAAGGAGGCTGCTGATTTCGGAGCCATCATCATCACCAAGACGGACGGCCACGCCCACGGTGGTGGTGCCATTTCCGCAGTAGCAGCAACCCACACGCCGATCGTCTTCATCGGTACCGGAGAGCACATGCTGGACCTCGAACGGTTCGCACCTCAGCAGTTCGTGCAGAAGCTGCTGGGCATGGGCGACATGGCTGGCCTGGTGGAGCACGTCCAGAGCCTGAATCTGAACCAGAAGGACACCATCAAGCACATCCAGGAGGGTATCTTCACGGTCCGGGATCTGCGCGACCAGCTGTCCAACATCATGAAGATGGGTCCCCTGTCCAAGATGGCGGGCATGATCCCGGGCATGAGCAACATGATGCAGGGCATGGACGACGAGGAGGGCAGCGCCAAGCTGAAGCGCATGATCTACATCTGCGACTCCATGACGGACAAGGAGCTCGACTCGGACGGCAAGATCCTCATCGACCAGCCCACCCGGATGACGCGCATCGCCCGCGGCTCCGGCACCTCCGTGCGCGAGGTGGAGGACCTGCTCACCCAGCAGCGGATGATGGCCGGCATGGCCAAGAAGATGGGCGGCAACATGAAGAACATGCAGCGGGCGCAGCAGGCCATGGCCGGCGGCAACAAGGCACAGCAGCTGGCGGCTATGCAGAAGCGCCTGCAGAGCATGGGCGGCGCCGGCGGGCCCGGAGGCGGAGGCATGCCCGACATGGGCAGCCTCATGAAGATGCTCGGCGGCGGCGGGGGCATGCCCGGTGGTATGGACATGCAGGCCATGATGCGCCAGATGGGCATGGGAGGTGGCGGCATGCCTGGGATGCCACCCAGCGGTGGTCGGGGCCGAAGGTAATAGCATATCTCGCCACTAGAGCATGAGGGGGAAAGATGAGTTCAACATGGTTTTCTGTCCATTAGCAATGGCTATGTACGCATGGTCTTGAGAGGTTGCAAGCATAGAATGTGCGTGGGGACTGGCGTTCTGGATTTCAATACTTTAATGTACGAACGGGATGTAGGCTGATGAATTGACGGGCTTCTGGGACCAGCATCACATCACATATGCGGATTGATTCATATCTGACAAAGAAAGAAAATGAAATTGTGTAGGCGTTTACGCTAATTGATGCGCTCTAATGTCTCTATTGGTATCATACAAGTCAGGGTCTGTGCCAACTGACTCTTCCTCCTCTCGTCTGATAATTCGATCCCGTCTTGCGGGGATGAGAAGAAATATTTGTTCATGTCCCGTTAATATCCTGTTATTTCGTAACCCCTATTCCGTGCCCCGTCTCCATGTGGTTGTTCGTAGATCAGGCCTCGCCCTCGCAGATCTCGACATAATCACGGGGTCGGGGTACTGGTCGGGTAGATGACCGGACCATCTCTGAACGGGTACTCGCCCGGCTTGATGGTTGGTGTGACGAGGGCCGTCGTCGTGGCCGTCTCTGACACTTGGGTCGATGTGAGGGTGGCCTCGAGATGGAGGATCTTGTCGATGAGGTCGAGCATGGATGACTCGAATGCGATTGGGGCGGCCTCGCATGTCTGGGCGCCTATCGCCAGGGCTGCAGCGGCGGCAGAGAGGAAGGATCCGGGCTTCATTTGTTCAGATTGTTCGGTTGCTGATCTGGTGTATGACAGCTGTGTGATGTGATGGCACGAGAGAGATGTGTTGTAAAGAGTGTAGATAGGACCAGCCTTGGAGAAAGTAAAATTGAATTATCAAACAGACAGTGTGGGAGCAGACCAGAGGCACGAGATATATAAAGCCGTACTACGTGTGGAAATCTCTTCTGATGTCTTTGGTGACAAGCACCCTTGACATGATGTGATTCACTTTACAGCGACTTACTGGCTGACAATGAATGTGCTGTTGGCCAACAAAGACAGACAGAGCTTGAAAGGCGTCACACAGCACGGCCACGGATTCACGCACACATCCCCCAGAGTGGACAAAGCACCGTCCCGCGACCGAAACGACTGGCCATTGTGACGGCTGGCCGCGATGCTGGTGCAGCACCAAGTGTCTGGTGTGTGGCAGATGATTGGTGGTCGAAGGTCGTTTTCACTCTGTGCGTTTCAGATCCCTGCGATGCGAAACGGCAGCGATGCGTCAGGAATAAGTCCAGCAATCAGTCCAGGGTCTGCTTGTTCCAGACTGCCGGTGTCGGCTCCAGTCATCTTTTCCATTGAATTAATTGTCACTTTGCCTCGACTGATGAATATCTGCCGTGGTAATTCGGAGTGGAGAGTCCGGACGCTTGTTTGCTTTCGGCCTGGATTCTGGCATCTTCCGGCGGAAAGTCAGTCCCCTTTTGTATTTTTGTGTGTCTTTGATCCTCCGCTGCCCTCATGGATTTATCTCGCTTTCTCGGACTGTCGCATTTCGTCGGTCGAATCATCGTTAGTAATAAGCCTCAATTGCTCCTCCTCACTTACACACATCGGAGTCTTTTTTAATATTTTTATTTCTTGTGTGACTCATTCCCCCATAATTACCACATAGAAAAATAAGTAGAGCAGGTACAGAGGGTTAAAATAAAATAAAGGCAAGAGCCTCGTTCGCTCCGGCCCGTTTAGAAAATTCCTGCTGCCCCATCCAATTGCAATTGACTGAAGACGGAACTGACGTCGAGGCACTCTCTCCCTTCCCTCATCCACCTCCAACTGCTTCAACAGCATCCTCCCACCCATCAATTGCTTTCCTTCTCTTCTATCCCATCTCAACAGCTCTCTACTCGTCACAATGGCTCCTCCCACCAACGACCACATCCTCACCCTCTCGTGCCCGGACCGCCCGGGCATCGTCCACGCCGTCACCGGCCTCTTCGCCAGCCAGGGCCACAACATCGCCGACCTGCAGCAATTCTCCGACAGGACCTCGAACCGCTTCTTCATGCGCGTCCACTTCGCCCAGAGCCCCTCGGCCCCGGCCGCCGACTCGGTCGATCACCTGCAGCCGCTCTTCGCCGCCCTCGCCGCCGAGTACACCATGGACTTCCGCATCCAGCCCTTCAGCCAGAAGACGCGCGTGCTGCTCATGGTCTCCAAGATCGGCCACTGCCTCAACGACCTCCTCTACCGCATGAAGGCCGGCCAGCTCGCCATCGAGGTGCCCCTCATCGTCTCCAACCACCCGGACTTTGAGCCCCTCGCCGCCAGCTACGGCATCCCCTTCTTTCACCTCCCCGTCAACGCCGCCACCAAGCCCCAGCAGGAGGCCCGCATCCTCGAGCTCGTCCGCGAGCACAACGTCGAGCTCGTCGTCCTCGCCCGCTACATGCAGATCCTCTCCCCCGTCCTCTGCGACGCCCTCCCCGGCCGCATCATCAACATCCACCACTCCTTCCTGCCCTCCTTCAAGGGTGCTCGCCCCTACCACCAGGCCTACGACCGCGGCGTCAAGATCATCGGTGCCACCGCCCACTTTGCTACCGTCGACCTCGACGAGGGCCCCATCATCGAGCAGCAGGTCTCCCGCGTCAACCACGGCATGGACCCCAAGGACCTCACCATTGCCGGCTCAAACACCGAGTGTCTGACCCTCGCCACCGCCGTCAAGTGGTACTCTGAGCGCCGCGTCTTCCTCAACGGCATCAAGACCGTTGTCTTCTCCTAGGCTGCATCGTGCAGATATCCGAGCCGAGATAAAAACGAGAACAAAAATGAGAAAAGTTAAAAATTGGAAAAGGAGTTCAAAAATGAATGTACCCATGTGCGGAACGAACAGGTATGTCGTGAGAATTGTGCATGGTTATGTACGTCACGTGCGCATGTATATGCTAGATTTTGGATATCATAGCGTGAATGAAAGAACAAAAAAACTTTAAAAACTACTATGTTCCCATGCGAGATGTCATCAAGAAATTGATTCTATTCACAGGAGTCCATTGATGAAGTCAATTGATGCGGAATGTTCTCATACTGATCGTCACAGTCGACCCCATAATGAAGATCTGGACAAGATTCGAGACCGGGATGCGTGAAATGACCGAACCCACATCAAGAAGACCATCTGGGAGAGAGCGGAATTGATCATTTGCTTTCAACGGTGCTTTCTTTGCAATTGAGTCTATAAATATCAAGACTTTTCAAGGTGGTGATGGCCGATGACCTAGCCCGGTTAGAGAGCTGTCCCTCATCACCAGACCGGACTGCCTACCATTAGACCTCGGGAATGGCATCTGAACATGCCAATTGACGGCTCATTCTTTGCATAGACGGCGCCGAGGGGGACCCCTTGGGTCTGCTTGCAAACAGCAAGCGGCGCGCGTTGTATCAGGCCCTGAGGGCAATACTGACCATCGCCCGTCTCACCTAACTACCACCCACCGCATCACCAACAGCTTCACCCCTTTTATATTACAACCACCCAACCTCTAGCAAAAGCACAAGCTCCCAACGCCCAAGCCGAACCCATCTAAACCACAGTCTTCAGCTCCCCCCTCTCCCCCCTCTCAACCTCCTCAACTCTCCCCCTGATAGTCTCCCAAATCGCCTCCGCAACACCCTCAACGTTGTCCCCCGCATCCAGCACGATAACTTCCTTCTCCCCGCTCCCATCCCCCAGCTCCTTTCCCCCCAGCTCCCGGAACAGCTCCCTCACGCGCCGTTGCATGGCCCCCTTTTCGTACTTCTCCTCCCCCCACCCGCCCCTCCTCTCCGCCTCCTCGGGCGTCAGGTCCAGGAACACCACCATGTCCGGCCGGGGCAGGCCGACCTCGGGCGCCCGCGCCCACTCCATGCCCAGCGCCGGGTTGCCCTTGGCCGCCGAATAGACCACCCCGGAGTGGAAGTACCTGTCCGAGATGACGTTGACGCCCCGGGCCAGGAGGGCCTTGATGTTGCCACTGTAATTTGTAAGTCATGTACACTTATGTGTAGCTTGTAGAAGGGGGAGACCCACGCCGCCTCCCATCTATTCGCGCTGAACAGGAGATGGATGGCGTGGTCGTCCATCTCGACGTTGCTGCGGAGGTACCCGTCAATCATCTGACCAATGAGTGTCGTCCGATCTATTCTTGTCAGCATCAATCTGCCACACTCCAATTCCAAGCACACACTCTTAAATATATGAAGGGGGGGAGGGGGGGGGGAACACACCCGGGAACCGCACCGTCTTGACGGGCTTGCCCAGCTCGACGAACCGCTGCTCCATCAGCTTGACCTGCGTCGTCTTGCCGCTGCGGTCCAAGCCCTCGAGCACGACGAAGGCGCCCCTCCTCTGCGGCTCCTGTTCGGTGGTGGTGAGGAGCTCGTTGATGGCGGCCATGGTGGGGGAAAGGAATGAATAGCGAGAGAGAGTGTAGAAGAAAAAAAAAGGAGAAAACTGAAGAAGAGTAGATGGGAAAAGGACTTGGTCAAGGAATTCAGTGGGAGAACACAACCTGTCAGTCGGGAGTCGAGTGAGAAGGGGAGGGGTTCAAACCCAGTTATACGGCACAGAGACACGGCAGAAGCGACGTCCAATTGATGGCTTGAGGGCTTCAGCTGAATTGATGCGGTCAGCATATTGTAAAGTGGCGGCTATTCGCACCGTGCATGCCTGCGGATTACCACCCAGAAGATAGACCGGACCGTGCGCCGCACTGTCCTCTTGTCCACCGCCATCGGCCACAATCACCGTTTCCACATGCAGCAATTCGCAATCGTACAGGTGAGATTGCCGCCTCGGTCCTCCAATTGGCCCGTCCATGTCATGGCAGCGGTGGTCTCCATGTAGGATGATGCGCCGCTCTGCACGTCGCTGCTTCGGTCGCGGGGGAAAAAGCAATTAAGATGCACGTGTGAAGCCAAAATCAGGGTCAAATCATATCATTTGCTATCCGAGCCGAGCCAATGCCCTCATACAAGTACTGCCAAAAAGAAAATACACTAATTCCAGACGCCAGTGCCAATCCCGTTCCCTTTCCTGCTCAATAAAAACAATGTAAACGCCGTAAAACACAAGGCAGAGCAAGGTCATGCCATCCAAAAAATAAACTAGAAATGAATCCCGTCCGGCTCGAGCCCTTACAAGATTCTTGCCAAAAGAGAGTACCCGTATCCACCATTACACATCATCATTATCCATGCCATCCATTTACCGTCGTCCAGATATCAAGAGCTCCCTTATTGGGTGGGTGTGGAAGGGGCGGTGTCGTCCTTTGCACTGCCACTCTCCCACAGCTCAAAGCTCTCGCCAGTGCCGTCAATGGGCTGCAGGACGGCGGCCTTGGAGGAACCTGGCTCGCTGGGCTTGGTCATGAGGGCATCAATGGTCTCCTCGATGGGGGTAGGGGCTTCTAATGAGGGGGCGTTCTTGTTGATCTCAGGAGAAAAGACGAAGCTCTTGGGAGCGCGGGCGGGCATTTGCTCCTCGGTATCAGTCTCAGCCTCCTCATCGGCCGGGACAATGATGACAGACGACTCGTCGCAGCCCTCGGCGTAGAAGTCGGCCGTGTTGAGAGCTCCAAGAGCGACTCTCTCCTTCTCGACGACCATATCGTCGGCTCGGGGAGCAGGGCGAGCTGCTCGTCGGCCTGAAGTTTGGGAGACGTCATCAACGGGAGGGACATTCTCCTTGTCCTCACGGCTCTCGCGGCGGGCTTTCAACTCGGACTCTTCATCCGAAGAAATGTCGAGAACGCAAGTGCTGTGCTGGAGCATGTTGGTCATCTCCTGCTCCTCGGTGTCCTCATGGATATCAAAGAACCAGCTGGCCTTCATGTCAGGTTCCAGGGGGTTCGAGGCACGCTTGGGTGCGGCAGGACGAGCTGCATAGCTGGGGATGGTGCCCTTGAGGGCGGCATCGAGAGAGAAAGGGGCAGCACCAGCGGAACGAAATGAAGGAGGGTCGACACGCGAGTACGGGCCAGCCGTGCGGCGTCTGTTGGAGAGGAGGCCGGAGCGCTTGCCTCTGGTGGGAGATCGCCCGGCGGGGGCAGTGAGCGGGGAGGGCTTGGAGATGCCGGTGCTGATCTTGGTTGGGCTCGTGATGGTTCGTCGAGAAGCTGTGGTCGACTTTGACTGGGGCAGGACAGAGATGGGGGAGACAGCGGGCTTAGCAGTGGGCTTGGTGTTGAGGATGAAGTTGGCAGGCTTGAAGATGACGTCCTTGGTCGAGCCGGACTTGAGAGGCTTGACGCGCTTGGCAAACATGAGGGGGTCAACATTCTCAGCGTCATCGTTCAGGTCGAGGAGCTCGGCCTTTCGCTTGCCAGCTGATGAGGGAGAAGGGAGAGCTGTGATGGTGTTAGTCGAACTCAATTGAAATGCAGTGTCATCTCGACGATGCCGTCCACCGCCACTAACACCAGCATCAAGCTGGGTTATAGCGCCGACACGTCTTCCATCTGTTCCACCCCCCACCGTCGTGTTGCATAGCAGAGGAGACGAGGTTATACAGAACACTCGAGTATTGAGTAACGTACCATTTTGTCTGTTCTTCAGGCTGGTCAGGCTCTGGAGACGAGATCCATCGAGTGGTGCAAAGGGTTGACGCGTGATGGTGGCCATTTTGTCGAGTGGGTATTCGTTGTGTTGTAAGAAGAAAAGAGGAAGGGAGAGCTGTCTGAGGAAGCTCTCGTCGAATGACCAAGATGGGAATTGAAAGTGTGCGTCCGTGTGGCGGTAGGTCAGATGGTCGGCAGCTGGTTGGGACGGAAGCCCACTAACAAGTATTGTTGTTGCTGTCGATGCTCTCTTTGTCAACAACACCGCGTCTTTGATGTGTTGTTTTGATGGAGAGCTGTTCAATACGATTCAAGTCGAGATGAAAGAGTGAGTGAGAGAGAGCAGAGAGGAGCTTTGGCTGCTGAGGATGTGGGTGGGAGGGTATTAAGGCAGGGGGTAAGCAGGAGGTACAAGAGGTACTGTACTCGAGCGTGCGCGACGGGCTGGAACGTCACGGGGCACGGCAGGCAATAGTGTGTAACAGGAGCTGCAGTGGGATGCAATGCAATGCAGAGGGGAGGAAAGGAGACGGAAGGGAGCGACAGAGCGAGCGAATGAAGATTGAAACAGACGGGACGGGATGGGATGGGGGAGGCAAGAATCAGGATGGATGAGTGGATGGGACGGCAGCAAAATGGGGTGGTGGCCGCAGCTGAGACAGCCCAATGGAACAGCGCTGGACACGCCCAACGGAACAGCTCGTGTCCAGCGCTCCAGGTGTCAACCTTGGACGCGTAGAGGACATCCCAGTGGACGACAGCCAGTCAGCGGGCGAGACGGCGGGCATCAGCGGGCAGTCTGCAGGCGACTAAGCCCGCTGGAGCCTGTCCTGACCACTCACAGGCCGCCGCTGGGCTACCCGCTAGGGCCTGCTGCAGCAGTGGACGCCTGCCGTTGATGCGGCCCACCTAAGGGACCAATCAGGCACGCGTCCTGCTTAAGTGGAAAGGAGGGGCAGCAGCAGAGCTTCTTCCATTTCTGGCCGTGGCGCGTTAATGGGCCATTTTCTTTAATTGAATCGCCATTAACCATCTGCACGAACAGCTCAGCACCCGAAATTGTCTCGGTGCGCGATGATCCCCGCCGTCTGAGGTCGGGTCACTGGTACCTGCCCTGGCGTCATGGACTCTCTGAATTGAGGACATAATTCATCTGGAATCAAATTATCAGGCCATCAATTGAACAGGGCGACTATATTCTATCGCTCCAATAAGGGGCGTGAATATTTGTGAATATCCAATACAATACATACCTCACCACCGACTAGCAGCTCCCCGTCCTCATCAGTCTGGATCAGGTTCCAAACCTACAGCCCGGCTCAGACCATCCCCAGCCGATCGATCCTCGTCACTGTGCTAAAGGGCCGACGGCCTGTCTCACCCACTGCTGGCCATCCATTCGGAATTGCTACGCTGATAGGCACCAGCCAGCCCTCTGTCCTACCACATCAGCCCTTACATGATCAGAGAGATAGCCCATTAGACCGAGCAGATCACCCCGTGTTCCCCCCATCATGTATGTACGTATGTAGGTACCAAGTGCGTTGGCTGCAAGCACTTTAACAGTTCGCCCATCTCACACAAACATGTGAGGCATTGCGAACCATGGTGTACATCTGGTTGTCAGACCCCTAAGCCGCCTTGTGCAAGCATAAACCAGGCACAAAAAAAGCCAACACTTCCGTGACTTCATGGGTGGAAGCTCACACACACCCCCTGTTCGCCGAGGCAGAACCTCCAAACCCTAAGAACACCAGAACCTGCTCAATACCATGCAACACTAGAAAGGAACAGCAATGAAAGGTAGCCTACTATGTACGTAGATAGCCCACGGACGTGTCGAATGCGACCCATCTCGTCTCACTGTTTGTTATGGCCTCGTTGGTCCCGCGGGCCCAACCCAATCCAACAAGACCTGGCATCATCCTTGCCCACAACGCTTGGCCGCCAGAACAGGCCCCTCGCCATACCAGAAACCGACAATTCCACTGCTGAGCGAATCCTTTCGTGCAACCCCTCGCCACCGGTGAGCCCGCAAGTTTACAAATAGACCCGACCACCCGTGTCTTTTCCGCGTTTTGCTGCCAATCCTCTCTTGTAACTCCACCTACCTACATCATATAAACTGCTCCCGGTCCCTCCTCACCATCGCGACGCGGACAGTTCGCGCCTCTGTACTCCAATGGATCGAGCCCACCTCCGGCGCTAATCAAGCTGCAGCTAGATAAGCTCTCAGCTCGATGGGCGTCAACCTGCAGGAGGCAGTGAGGTAGTGCAGAGAAGCCATCCGCGAGGCCGGGACTGAAACGAGACAGCTGCCGTCATCCAGACGCCGTCTTCCTTAATATCGCTGCTCTCGCCGCCATTGCGTATAGTCCAAATTGCTCTGCTCATGTCCAGGCCAACCATCGTCCGAGTGAGGACATGTCTGAAACTGACCTCTGAAGAGTCCATCCCCACATTCCATCCCTTCCCTCCCAACCACGAGCGCCGCCTCTGAATCGCCGGCCACTTCTTCAGCCCACTGGCGTCATGTCTTGGACTCTGCCAATCCATTCGTCTATTCCGCAGCGGCCAAGAGGCCGGGTGGGCTGCCGTCAAGCTCCTGTCTTATGGCTGGGTCGCTGGAGCCACCACCTCCTTGTAGCGTGGTAACACTAACAACAGGTTGCATTTCAGTCATCCATCTCGTATCTACGTAGCTTTAGGCAGAATTCACTCATCAAAGGGGCGGTCATGAACGGATTGGTTAACGATGCTCAATTCATAATGATTAAGAAATACTGTTGTTTCATCGAGTCTTTGCAGGTACGTGAGGATCATGGAGACAAGTCTCCCA